TTTAATATTAGGGAGGGGGGGAGGGGCGTTTAATATTAGGGGGAAGGGATTACTCGCCACGAAAGATTGAACGAAGAGCCAAGAAACGGTCGATGACCTGAAAATGGAGGAAGTATTATTGAGCAACTCGTTCAGGTACCAACAGGATGTTGGGGACTGGTTCTATGGCCGCTATGCTGGAAGCGCGAGGCGTAAATGGCGAATTACTGCTGTTCCTCTCATATTCTGCCCGCCTGTTGGGCAGGTCAGTCGTTGGAGTGTGCCAAGCAGCTACATGAGGATATCCAGTGCCAAGCAGACTTATCAACCAATGCAAGGAAGGTGTTCACATGCATGTCCCTTCTGATACAATCATGAGGACAATACTGACGGCACTAGTACTTGTATCTAACCGTAACAACGACGGTAATAACACCTATTGGTTCCCTTTGCATGAGTGTGTGCGGCTTCATCCAATCTGAGTCGGAACACTCGGAATGGATGGGTACCAAGGGCTTCTTCACACATGACACGCAATTCGCGCGAATGCATGAGGCGACGTGTCTTCTAGGGCTGCGACCCATCGGAGCTCGGAGACGCTTCCGAACCTGGAGCTACGGTTTGTTGTGAGGTAGGGTTCAGTCTGGGAGCTCCTTAACACGGTGGAGCACTGTCGGCTGCCCCATGATGCTTGTTCGGATGCGGAGCGTGCAGGGAAGCTGAACTAAAGGAACGATCCACGAGGAGGTGCGTGCATGCTCGCGCATGTTGGCAGAACACGACTCGACGGAAAGCAACCCCTGAACAAGCATTTGCGGCTGTTTCCTTGACCTCAACCACGGCGATGATCCAGCAAGACAGCGTAAGAAGGTAAAGGATCTTCAAAGGAGCAGACGATGCGCAGCTAAGTGCTTGTTCGGGCGGAGGGGCCTTGGAATGAACCACACTGACACGAACGTCAATCCTAGCCAAAGCGGCAGGGGTTTGTTCCACGGTACAAACACACGAAGAGCCATAATGTCCAGAAAACGAAGCTCTCCGCAGCTCTATTGCAAAACCTTCAAACAACACAGGAGCAAGAACCACAAGCCTGGCTGGAATTCTCGAAATCCTGCATGCAGTATCCGCCGAGCAGCATGTGATGCCCGTGACTGTTGCAAGAGACAGCTGCGAACCAAGCTGCTGGAGGCGAACCAACCTGCAAACAGAGTATATATGTACGCATGAGATCAGAGCATATATGTACGTATGATGTGTGTATGTATGTATGTATGTATGTATGTACGTACGTACGTATGTATGTCTGTGTGTGTGTATGTATGTATGTATGTATGTATGTATGTATGCAGGCATGGATGTACGAATGTGGCGTATGTATGTATGCTGCAGCCGACGGGAATCACCCAAGTAAACTGGCAGGGTCCGTCAAAAAACATCGAGACCGAGCCAGTCTTAGGAAAACAAGGGGCTTGGCTTCACGCGGTGCGCAAAATTAGGTTGAACAACCGAGGCGGCTTTCTTCGAAATCACTGCAACGTCCCACCGAGCTTGCAAGCCAGAACGACCCCATACCACAAATGCTCCCTTGCCGATTTTTGCAGCTGGGTTCTGACAGCCAGCAAGTCCGCCCACTCTCTGAAGCTCGGCTCAGCTCTGTTGGTTGAGATTCCAAACGTTAACTCTTGATTCTCCCGGATAAACCCGAAGCACACCTTTCCGATGGGATCGTCTTCATCGCGACGGAGAACTTCTTCAGAAAAGATGCCTTGAGCTCGGGCCTTGGATCAGGAGAGACTTACTTTGGCGCCTGAAAAGGGATGTACAGGGCTTTTTGTCCCACCAAGTAGGGTTACGACAAGCGCGTCTGAGAGGCATGTTGGCTGGTGCTGGGCTACTGCTGGTTCCCAGGAGCCCTTAAACCCTAAATTTGTAGAAGTGTGTCGAGAGTGATTCGCTTCGGTGCACGTCCGAAATGTTGCAATATCTCTGTGCTCTAGTCGTTAGGCAAGCCCGGCTGTGGAGCAACCCACGAAGATTCATGGAATGGCAACGGGATTGCAGTTTGCTCCGAGGAGTACTGAGAACATCAATGCCAAGGCTCATGTGACTGGCCATGTTGTTTTCTGCTGCAGTACAAAAGCGTTTAGACCAGATGCTTCAGATCGGTGCATCACACTCATACGCACGAGGCTCATCCGTTAACTTCAGTGACTGAGTCATTCCACATTTCTACAGTTGTTCTTCCACCTGCTATTTACTCCTCCCCTTTACTGATTACTTGTCATTGACTTGTATGTGTGACGACTAGCTACGAACGTTGGTTCGTAAGTTGTGGTTTTTTGACAGCTGGAGCAGAAGCGGTGATGGAGTTGATCGCGATCATGGATGAAGATAACGCTCCAAGACCAATTATCCAAGAAACTCGTCGGAACAGTCAGTCACGCCCGACACCTGCGCCACGCTGGTCTGGTTCACAGGACCGTGAGTTTTGTCCATGGTGGCAAGAGCCAACATTTGTGCCGTACACTTTGCACATCCCAACCAGTCGCCCTCCCCAGCACCGAACCCTTCACCATCAAACACCACCTATTTACACTCATATTGTTGCATCATAAGCACATCTGTATACAGCTGCAGCCAGTCAGACACACCCTACGGCAGTAGTCATAACGACGTTTGCCGCAGCACAAACGGTGGAGGCAAGCAGCCCCGCTGCCTCCGTCTTAAGCGTGATGTTCAAGTTGTCATTTGCCTGGGCTTTAGGACGGTGGCTGGTGCAATCTTTGCATGTATGCCTGGTCTTGCACATGTATGACATCAATGGACCTATTAGCCGTGTATTCCTCGTACTTTCTGTTGTTAGTATCAGCACTCCTGAACCCCCGGCTTGAAAACCGCATAGGCTACCCCATTGACAGATACTCGGCAACATGTACGGAATAGAGTGGGGGCGTTCCAACAATCTGCCAAACCTGCAACTCAAGCCGAACCACCATGACCCATGACCTCTGAATTCACAAGCCACTCAGGCAACATGCGGAAACCTTGGGCACTGGCCTCCACACAGTACTACTTTGCAACAGGGCTAGTATTCCAAGGCCTTATTAGAAATTTCCTCAACTGATTCTGAATGGGGGCAGTACCCAATTGAAACCCAACTTCCATCTACCTCCGGAATTCCGAAAAGAGCTCAGCTCTTGGTCTCTGAGATGTTGAACTCAAGCATCTAAGACCCACAGACCTGTAAATAATAAGGAGAATTAGAAAGCGATGCTTGAACTTAAAAATAATGTAGAGTCACACAATAAAAGTACTAGCCATCATAATCATATATATATATAATGATAGAAAAAGATATCGCTAACGCATAATAAGAATGACTCCTCCAGGCCGCAACCTGCCCCTTGATCCTCTTCAGCTTGACATTGCCCTCCTTCGGATGCAGGCCACGGGTCGGCTTCGGGGATCTCTCGCTCGCAGTCGGGCTGCAGGACTTAGAGTTGGGCTCAAGTGGACTTGGGCTTTCGATTTGTGTGGATTTTTTTGCCTCCCACCTTATTTGTGTGGATTTAGGGTTTAGGGTTTAGAACAGAGTAACTGCAGCGCTGCACTACACTGTACATGGACCCAAAAACCTGTAAATTAGCGAACACTGGCTATTGCAGGGTTCTGCATATACCTCCACATCTGTTCGATGCTGCCTCTTCTGACACGTGGTAGAGGGATGAGTCATGCCAGCTAAGATCGTATCTAACCCTGTATATAGTCTTGTGGTTGCATGATCTGCCATGAAAAACATGCAACACCCCGGTGCAGGATGTGATGCGCGTGCAGACGGCTCCGCCATCGCCACCTTTTTGATATGGTTCATCGTCACAACGCTCATAATATACATGTAAGCAGCGCCAACTGCTAGCTGTCCTGGACGCGGAAGACTGCTGCCATCGCCGTTGCCACACTTGCAGTCGCGTGGTCCTGTTGAGCCTGTTGAGGTCTGGACAGCCGGATACCTCGTTTTTGTTCCTAAGCTAGCAAATTGTGAACGAAGTATTCATAGTAAGCATAACGCGAAGAACGCCACATGCAGGAACACAAAACCATGTAAAACATGCATCAGAAAACAAACAAATCAAACAAAAAACGGTACTCAACCCTAATTATAGAAAACAGGAAATTAAAGCCACTCATAGAAACGATATTAATAGTCTGTCGAAATCCACGGGAGCATGAAAAGTAGAATTATAATTGTATCAGGATATGAAATGAGAAACTGTAAGTGGCGTCGTTTTTCCAGTGTCGGCTTGATTTCTCGTGGCCACCATTCCACATCGTGTGATTTCTCATCCATACGGTCTTCATGTTTATGCTGCTTGTATATATTTCTTCATAGGAATTCCCAAACATGGTTCAAGATTTTGTATGAACTTCGGAGGCTTTGCTTTGATTTGAATTTTTTCGGTCATACGACTCATCAGGACGAACAAGGTTTCGGGCTGCCCCTAAACGCTAAAACGCAGTGTGCGGCGCAACTTGGGAGATGTTTGAAGTTTGAAGCTTTCGCAATGCGCTCGGCCGCAGTCTGTGCTCCAGGGATGGCAGAAAGCCGCGCAAAAAATCGGCGTATGAGGGCCAGCAGCGGACACCGATTTCATAGACTCCCATGCCAACGCAAAGTGGGGATGGAACTTCAGTGGGCTCGCAGCTGCACATGGCGCAGAGGCTAAACCCAAAACGATCCCAAACCCAAAGCCCTTTCTTTGATTGAACCCAGACTCTACTGATCAGCTAGGAAACAGCACTGCGTGATTTCGCACAATCCTGCATCAAACGAAGTCTCAAAACAGTCACCCAAACCCAAAACCTAAACCCTAAAACCCTAAACCCTTAATCGCTCAGCCCTAAACCCCCCTTTTGGAGGGTTTACTAAGCCCTCAGCCCCGGCCCACCTCCAACTCGCTGTTCAGCTCTCGCACGGCCTTCATCGGACTTGGGTCGGTGAATGGCCCGGGGTGATAAAGCTTAAGCTTCCTATAACATATGCAGATACAGACTACATGTATGTATGTGTGTGTATGTATATATATATATGTATATATATGTATAGCGAAACTTTGCATGATTGGGGGTTCCCAGCCTAATCAGCATGTCAGTTTAGGATCCTTGCTTCCTCCTGAACATACATAGGGATCCCCCAATTTCAAGATACCCCCGCAGCAGCTTTTTTGAAACTGCTCCTGCAACCTGCACACACACACACAGAGTGTGTCCTCTGCCACCCATCCCCAACAGCCCCTCATCGTGCTTTTTCCCTGCACGGAACTTCCGGTCTCAGAGGAAGGAGGAGGAAACGCCGCCGCGACTGAAACCTCAGTTCTTGGGTCTCCTGCACTGCAGCGGCTGAGGGATTAGGGGAAGAGCAGCACGATGGCCGGATGCATGCACAAGCTGTCAACCTGCGCAAGCACGCGATGCCGCGAGAGAATATTGGCGTGCGTGTTGCATTGCGGTAGCAAACCCAGCAATTTCGAAACAACTTCCGCAGACCGGACTCCCCCCGCAAGGTCTGGATCATGCTCCGAATTCAGAGCCCGAGCCCTCCTTCTTGCAGCTCGAGCACGTCCTGTAAGTCCCGTCTGCGAGTTCTCCACGAGCTTGGAAAACTCGTCAGCTGAGATGGGCTTCTTTGTTACGAGGTCCTCAGGGCCGTGTCTACCCAGAACCCCCTACCACTGACCCAAGGCATGTCAAAGCTTCTCTACTTGAGTTTAAGAGCTTTCCTAACCTGCGCCCAAAACCTCGATTGAGCCTCTGCACGCTCCGCCAAACACATATGCTGCATCTAGAGTTCGATCCTGGGCATCTATCAACGACAATTGCTGACCCATCCCAGAAACTCCTATAATGTGTCTTACATACGGTGCTGACCATGCTCTGTGTACTGCTAGCCGCCTGAACGCTCAATCCTACTGTGGAATCGTTGCCAGGTGTGTCTCTTATAAATGTCGTGCAGCACCGGTGCTCACCGTGCTTGCAGCGTACCGTCGATCTCCAATTACACATCTGGCTCCCTAAACCCTTGCAATCTCCAAAACGCCGTGAACCCTCAACCCAAATGCCTCCCCATACTGCAACAACACAAGACAGTAAACCTTCCGCTTCCCCAAACCCTACACCTACACCTAGCTCTACACCTGACACAACAATGATAAACAAGAGGTTATGGCTCCTGAGTTACCGGGCCTAGTGACAACCCTCGGTTGTTGGATCCACACGCGTGGCCCTAGAGACTCTTTGAATGACATCAATCCTTCTAAGAGAAATGTATAGGGAATCCCACCACTAGGTGCCTTTAATCCTTTTTCCAACCTTTTGGGGCTTCCTAGAACTGGGAGTTAGGATTAGGGGGACCCTTGAAAATATAGACCCTCTCAATAAGGTCCTTTTTAAGAGAGCCATAAGTAGGGTTAAGAAGGGGTCCCCTTTGAGGGGCCCCCCTAATACTACCTTGGAAGAACCCGCCCTTCGTCGTCCTTCTCCGGATCGAAGGACTTTCGCAAGGCTGCCGGGCCGCTTCGTGCCTGCTTCTCCTGGGGACCCCCTATACCCATAGGCCCCTAAGTAGTTCCTTTTTGGGATTACCTTATAGAATTCTAAATATAAACCACAAAAAGGAACTACTTAGGGGCCTATGGGTAGGGCCTGGCTTTAAGTAGAGGCCAGAAAGATTCCGGAAAGTTGGAGCACCGATATCCTCATGCCCATATGGTAAAGTCTAGGGGGATCCCAGCACTAATCATCCTAAGCCCAGGTTCCAACTTTCTGAGGTTCACGTGTGGGTCCTAAGGGAGGGCCTTGGATCTGCCAGGCTGGAGCTTTGCCAGGTTCAGGGCTTAGCAAGCGCGAAGCTCTGAAGCTCAGATCATGGTTAGTAGCCTCTAAAGGGGAAAACCTGGAAAAAGATATCTAATCCAAAATGGGAATTACGACAGAGACCTCTGGAGACTGCAGGCAAACCCTCACCCCCAAGCGGCTCAAACACGGGTTGCAGTCCTGCTCCTTCTCTGACATGCCCCAGACTTCGCTGGTTCCGACCTGGGGTCGGACAAGGATGCCTGGAGCCTAGAGGATCTCAGGTTAGGGTTTAGGGTTCAGGGTTTAGGGTTTAGAGGTTCATTCAAGATCAGGTTTCGACTCGCAAGCTCGCACAAGCAGGCGCGGCTTCGAGATCATCCATCACTCATATCGACGAAGCTGCTGCAGTATTCGGGTTTCTTCTCGATTTGTGCTCGGGTTTATAGTTCAGGGTTTAGGTTGCTTTGTTTAACAGGTTGGGCTTTGGGGTCTGCAGGGTTTCGGGTTTAGGATTGGATGTAATGTCTATAGGGCTGATGATTAATTAAGGGTTTAGTACGTAGCTCAAGGTCCGGCTGAGGAGCTTCAGTGGGAGATACTTAGATTTGAGGGGTGAGTAACGTGTCATGTGGCAGGTTGCGCCATTGTCAGCGCGAGCCGTTTTTGACGGAGGCCACTCATAGCAGGAAGTACATGTTCAGCTTTTTAGTTATCCAGCTCGGTGGACTCCAAGAAACCGAGACATCTGGGCCGCAGAAACTCGTTTGTGGCAAGCCGTGTCAATCGTCAAAGCTGGGAGGCAAAAGAACATCTGTTCCCTCAGGGCACAGCTACGGAGGCATTGCCAAGCTATTTGCTCCCAGACTATGTAGAGACATATTTGCATGAGACGCTACCTCGTGCTGCTGCACAAGCAGCAGCGAACATACCACTGCCTCTGTTATTCATATGCAGTTTTTAGAGCCCAAAATCCGAGCCACCATGCTCGGGAACCTAGTCGCACGAAGCAGCGAGCTCAGGCACTAGCCTTTCTCTTGCGCAAGCCGTCCTGTGCCTCCTTGGCCTCTGCGAAGGTCCCATCCTCGCTGCGAAGATTAGACCCGGGAAGGGAAGCAAAGGTGAGGACTACATGCCACGTCCTGTGAAATTTAAATTTTTCCTAAAGACAGTGTTGCTGCTGCGGAATTAAAAACTGGCTGTTTTCCATGCGGAGTTGTGAATTTCAATGTTTGCGCAGTGCCGCGAGCTCCCCACCTCGCAACAAAATACCTCAGGGCCTTTATCACATTCGGACATACATACATAAACAGATAGAGAGAGGGGAAAAAAACAACACAGACAGGCAGAGAGGGAGAGCGAGATATACAGAACCTCAGAACCTCAGAAATCGAGTCGTCCGGCCTGCTGCTGGGAGAGCAGTGATGGACCCCGCTCTTTGAAGGCCTTCTCGAAGGCTTCCTCTTCCTGTGATGTACCATCGCCAAAGGAAGCTCAGAACGGGGTTTTTTAAGGGAGAAGGGTTCCTCGAAGAGCAAATCGTCATGGGACCGCTGTCAGGCAGTGAGCATGTGGCGGAAACCGCCTTCGATTCCAAGCCGTAGGCGGACTGCGGAATTGCCGCCAGTGGCATAAGGCATGCGCAAACCAGCACATCAGAACCCACGGCCTCACACCACCCTTGCCAGCTACTGTGCATAGGTAGCACCGCTGTCCTGCTTGCTTCTTTTCACTGCAAAGGCATCCGCTTTCCTTTGTCGGACCGTCCCGTTGCCGTCTAGGAAGAGGCCAGCCATGCCTCGGAAGAAAAGCTTCGCATGGAATCGTCTGCTCGCCTTGCAAACAACTTCGGGCTCAAACTATCTCGGATTATGAGGCTTTAAAGTTTGTTAGGCTTTGGGCTCACATTGTAATGCCATCCCCCTCCGCTTGCCGGCTGTATCCTGCTAGACGCCGGGCTGTAAAGCTCCAATGACTCTTCTCAGGAACTGTGCTTGGCGGACAATTCTACTTTCCACGACACACTCGGAAAGGTAGGTGACGAACCCTATACCACACAAGACAACAGATTATCGTACAAGAATCTTGAATACAGAACATATCATCTAGCATCTTTTAAGATCATATGATATGACATATCAAAAGATACGATTAAACGAGGCACTGTCTGGTGCCATGGTCATCCATTCCTCTCGCCCAGATCGCATAGGGTCAACCTGAGCTGGGTCTTCGGGTCGTCGGGCTTAGGGTTTAGGATCTTTGGGTTTAGGGTTTATGGTCTTCGGATTTAGGGTCTTCGGGTCCTCGGGTTTGGGGTTTAGGCTCTTCGGGTCTTCGGGTTTACGGTCTTCGGGTTTTAGGGTTTTGGGTCTTCGGGTTTAGGGTCTTCGGGTTTCGGGCTCAGGGCTTGCTCTCATCATGAAAATCATAGGTGAAGGGAAAGGATCTACAGGCGTCGCACTTCTTCCGGTAAGCATAAAAAACATCCACATAAACATCTTCTCTATAAGCCGATACATGAACAAAAAGTAGTAAATAAGCAAACAAACAAATACATACATACATTACATATACAGAAAACATGCAATATACATATATATATATATGTCAGTTTACACGATCTCCACCACTCGCACAACTCGCTGAACAGCCCTGGATCGCAGAGTTCTTTTTCCTTGCGATCGAGACGTGGGACGTGATCGCGTCATAGATCGGATCATCAAAACTTCACTCGATCTTCACACGTCCGATCGGAACCCCGATCACCGGGTGTGCGCATCGGCAT